AGAGATGGGGGACTAGACATAGAGATAGTGAAATAGATGAAGGGAGAGAAAGAAACACACACACACACACACACACACACACACACATATATATATATATATATATATATATATATATATATATATATATATATATATATATATATATATATATATATATATATATATATATATATATTTAGACGGACAGAACAGACAGAGATAGATAAAAGGATGGATGGAAGGATGGATAGAGGGTCGGATGGACGGACGGACAAACAGATAGACAGACAGACAGACAGACAGACAGACAGACAGACAGACAGACAGACAGACAGACAGACAGACAGACAGACAGACAGACAGACAGACAGACAGACAGACAGACAGACAGACAGACAGACAGACAGACAGACAGACAGACAGACAGACAGACAGACAGACAGACAGACAGACAGACAGACAGATAGACAGACAGACATATAGACAGATAGACAGATAGATAGATAGATAGATAGATAGATAGATAGATAGATAGATAGATAGATAGATAGATAGATAGATAGATAGATAGATAGATAGATAGATAGATAGATAGATAGATAGATAGATAGATAGATAGATTAACCAGATAGATAGATAGATAGATAGATAGATAGATAGATAGATAGATAGATAGATAGATATATAGATAGATAGATAGATAGATAGATAGATAGATAGATAGATAGATAGATAGATAGATAGATAGATAGATAGATAGATAGATAGATAGATAGATAGATAGATAGATAGATAGATAGATAGATAGATAGATAGATAGATAGATAGATAGATAGATAGATAGATAGATAGATAGATAGATAGATAGATAGAATAGATAGATAGATAGATAGATAGATAGATAGATAGATAGATAGATAGATAGATAGATAGATTAGATAGATAGATGGATAGATAGATAGATAGATAGATAGATAGATAGATAGATAGATAGATAGATAGATAGATAGATAGATAGATAGATAGATAGATAGATAGATAGATAGATAGATAGATAGATAGATAGATAGATAGATAGATAGATAGATAGATAGATAGATAGATAGATAGATAGATAGATAGATAGATAGATAGAAACAAAACAAAGAAAAGAAAGAAAAAAGGAGACAGCTAGACAGAGAGAGCCATACAGAATAAAACTCGATGCCATAGAGTCAATCCTCTTCCACTTAAACTCTTTCAACAAGATCATCATTCACGGAGTCACACTTCACGTAGTCTACAGAACGTGTCTCACCCTTAGACACAAGAGTCCCTCTATCGGCTGACTAACCTCCATGCAAATGTTCAAATTCGCATTATCCCCGGTACTGACTGCATCCACTGTCAGCTTTTCTATCTACATGGATGTAACTCCAATGAAGAATCAGCTTCCACACCATGAAGGGTACAGGACCATAGTGTAAGGGCCACAGACATATATACCAGTTCTCCTTATCATCATCGTCGTCATCATCATCATCTTGATCTCATCATCGTCATAGGCTGTCATGTGTCATGCAGACCTCCCAGTCTAGTCTCCTATTCGCTCCTATCCTTGCGATTACTTGAAAATATCATAGATAGAATTCAGTCCAACATCTGTGCCCCCACTCATCAACGTTTGTCTTAGGATTACTTTAGTTGTCCGTTGATTTAACTTATTTCCTCATCTTTCTTGAATTCATCGCTTTTAGTGGTCATCAGTTTTTGTGGCCACTTAATTTCGAATGCAGACACCAGTCTTCGCTGATCGATTCATTGATTGTTTGAAAATCGACCCTACAGCAACCTGGGCAAACCTTACTTGTTCCGTCTCCTGCAGCAAACGTTGCAAACAGTAGATGCTAATCATTCCATTAGCACACTTGTTATAATCAGTTCTTTGCCGAACCCATCCTGTCATAGAGCCACTAAGTAAGTTGAAAAAAAAGGAAACGTAAAGTGAAGGACATATAGGGCTAAACCTATATTTAAAAGACCAATCGGCACAAGATGCGTGCGTAGTCAGCATCACGCTGGCTGCCTTTACTTCCCGGGACTGCACCCGGTACCCACTCAAGGCTAGGTCGACCTGTGAGCCAAGGTCATTTTTGAAAAAAAGTCCGGCTCTGCCAGTGAGCGAATCCACGACCTTCCGATCCGCAGGCGAGCGTCTAACCGCTCCGACACGGCGACTTCCCAGAACCACTAAAATCAGGAACAAAAATAAAATGCATAAATAAAGAAAGAAATGCTTAAGAAAATAGACGAACATTAAATGGGATAGAAGATGTAAATGGCTTGGCCACGTTATGAGAATGAATCCTGATACCTGCCAAAACAGCTCTCACGTGGATACCAGAGGGAAAGAGGAAGAAGGGGCGCCCAAAAAACAAAATTGAGACTAGCGATGGAGAGTGACCTGAATGCGGCCTCTATGACATGGAAAACTGCACTGAAGATTACACAGGACAGGAAAGCATGGAAAGTCCTCTTTGAAGACTCATGTGCCACTAGGCATAAAGAGAATTGATGACGATGAAATGGGATGATTTTAAAAAGTTCAGAAATGAGAGAAATAACTGGACAACAGAGTGTCAGCATTTATTAGAAAAAAAGAATATGGTTACATATTCGGCATATTATAATGAGAAGCGAGCGGAAAATCACTAAACACGCACTGATCCATCCACCCACTCATCCATCCATCCATCGATCCATCCATCCATTTATGAGAAACAAAACAAAGGATCGACCACGTTTAACCAACTGCAAGCAGTATCGACTATAACTGTGATCTAGTTTCTTTGTGTCAATTATACTGGCTAAGAAATGTTAATTAAACTAAAACTAGTGGCTCGGACCAGTATTCTAGTACCTAGTACCTAGTGGGAGTTGCAGAGGAGGAGTCTGTTAAGCACTATACACAACCACACACATATGTAGACAGACATGGTCAATTACACACACACGTATAATGCTTTAAAATAGGATAACATATGGAGTAAGGAAACGAGTACGTTTTAAAGAAATCAACGAACAAAATTTAGTATCACAAGGCTACAGATTGTGCGCGAAGACAAAAAGCCCGAAGACGGTGCTGAACTTTATTCTGTCTACAATATCGACAGACTTTCAAAGGATAAAACGGAATTTAGGATTAGACTGCAGACCTTATGAGACGTTCATAACAGCACGAAATGACGATGATAAATAGCCAAATTGTGTACCTTCAGCCAAATAGTGTACCTTCAGCAAAATTGTGTACCCTCAGCCAAATAGTGTACCGTCTACAAATAGTGTACCTTCAGCCAAATAGTGTACCTTCAACTAAATTGTGTACCCTCAGCCAAATAGTGTACCGTCTACAAATAGTGTACCTTCAGCCAAATAGTGTACCTTCAGCAAAATTGTGTACCCTCAGCCAAATAGTGTACCGTCTACAAATAGTGTACCTTCAGCCAAATAGTGTACCTTCAGCTAAATTGTGTACCCTCAGCCAAATAGTGTACCGTCTACAAATAGTGTACCTTCAGCCAAATAGTGTACCCTCAGCTAAATTGTGTACTCTCAGCCAAATAGTGTACTCTCAGCGAAATAGTGTACCTTCAGCCAAATAGTGTACCCTCAGCTAAATAGTGTACTCTCAGCCAAATAGTGTACTCTCAGCGAAATAGTGTACCTTCAGCCAAATAGTGTACTCTCAGCCAAATAGCGTACCCTCAGTCGAATAGCGTACCCTCAGCCAAATAGCGTACCCTCAGCCAAATTGCGTACCCTCAGCCAAATAGCGTACCCTCAGCCAAATAGTGTACCCTCAGCCAAATAGTGTACCCTCAGCCAAATAGTGTACTCTCAGCCGAATAGCGTACCCTCAGCCGAATAGCGTACCCTCAGCCAAATAGTGTACCCTCAGCCAAATAGTGTACCCGCAACCAAATAGTGTACCCTCAGCCAAATAGAGTACCCTCAGCCAAATAGCATACCCTCAGCCGAATAGTGTACCCGCAACCAAATAGTGTAACCTTAGCCAAATAGCGTACCCTCAGCCAAATAGTGTACCCTCAGCCAAATAGCGTACCCTCAACCAAATAGTGTACCCTCAGCCAAATTGTGTACCCTCAGCCAAATTGTGTACCCTCAGCCAAATAGTGTACCCTCAGCCAAATTGTGTACCCTCAGCCAAATTGTGTACCCTCAGCCAAATAGCGTACCCTCAACCAAATAGTGTACCCTCAGCCAAATAGAGTACCCTCAGCCAAATAGCGTACCCTCAGCCAAATAGAGTACTCTCAGCCAAATAGAGTACCCTGAGCCAAATTGTGTACCCTCAGCCAAATAGCGTACCCTCAACCAAATAGTGTATCCTCAACCAAATAGAGTACTCTCAGCCAAATAGAGTACCCTCAGCCAAATAGTGTACCCTCAGCCAAATTGTGTACCCTCAGCCAAATAGTGTATCCTCAGCCAAATAGCGTACCCTCAGTACTTGATTAAAATCACTTTACGGTTTCCCAAACGAGTCTCGAGCGTTCTATGCAGACTGAAAATCAGACAGCATCAACGACTAAGCCAGATCCAATTACTAATCGGGGAGACTACCATTGTTTTCGGACCAGTGGAAGCAAACATGATCAGCAAATCTATTGGTAAAAACCGCTATTGGCGGAACTGACATCAGGTGTAAGACTCATATTTTGTTGTTGTTGATAGACCAGTCGGCACTCGATGGGTTTAGAAGTGTAAATGTTTAAAGTGAAATGGATAACTTTGTTGTATTGTACAGGGTTGTATGCCTTGTGGCTCAGTCTCTCCCAACAGCACGGTTAAACGATTGCCTCCATAACATCAGCGACAATCTACAGGATTAACAATTGACCAAACAACATGTCAATTAAACAAACCCACGACCTTCAGAGCTCGAGGCAAATAACCTAACCATCTCGTCATTAGGACCTCAAGTCAATGCGGACCGAGTCTAGCATGTACTTACCGACAACGTTCAGCTGCACTAACCGGATGTGGCCGGCACGAGATGTCACCTGACACTCATACAAACCGGCATCCTCAGGACTCGCCTGGTGAATGACCAGGTCCCAGGTGGTCACAGCACTAGACTTTCTGTCAAAAAAATAAAAAATGAAAAAAAAAAGTGGATATCAGGTTTACAGAACCAATTACAATAAAACAAAAATGTTTCGGCAACTAGCCGTCACCAGCAAACAATACCAAAAAAATATATTTATAAAAAATAAATAAAATTAAATAAAGTGATACCGAAAAACATACAACGGAGGGTAAAAAAGTAATGTCTCCTATTTTTAAAAATCTAAATAAATATTGTATCAGTGACCAATTTGTATATTTAGCAAGATTTCTCAGACACTCTTCTACACTGTTTAGTATTAGCAACCTATTTCAGTAATAGGTGACATCACCATAACGGTTTTAATCTGGCTTTCAGAGACGTTCGATTAAAACAAGACAATGCCATAGAATCCCTCAGTGCTGACTCAAGACCCCAGTTCGCATCAACGAACGTTTAGAGAATGTTTAAAGAAATTCAACAGTGGATGTTAGCACTGTCCGACCTTGGGCACATCGTTGTGACGAAGCTGATGTAAGTCAATCCTCAATGGAAAAATCCCCAATCTCTCATCATATCTTCTTGTTCCACAACTTTCATTGTGTGTGCACAACCATTTTACATATCTGGCCTATTTTATGTAGACTGTTGGTTCCACGCCTCTTATATAGATGCAACCCGACTTTGAAGGAAAAACCCGTACTTAGTTGCTTTTCTACGACATGTTTGATGAGAGACAGTGGGTCAAATATTGCCCTTCCAAAAACTTTTGACCTTGAAACCCACACGGGGATCTTGTAATATTATAGAAGCATATATCAACAACAAAATCCTTGTTAAAAGATCTTCTGATTTGGGGGATGAGTGAGCGCCGAACGCAACCAACAGACAGGCATGTTATAAGATAGAAATAATAGGGATTCAGGTTTAATTGCTATTAATTAATTGCCGATTCAATATTAACTGCAAACCACGAAATACAAATTTAAAAGAAAAAAAAAAATATCATTCACTAGATAGGTGGTCACCAACCTTCCTAATGCCTCGACCCTTTAATACAATTTCACATGGTAATGCGACCCTCAACCATACACATCCCCCCCCCCCTTGCTACTTCATAACTTCATCAGTATATGTTTTCCGATAGTCTTAAACGACCCTTGTGGAGGGGTCGTTCAACCTTACAGGTTGAGAATCTCTGCACTTGATCAACACTGACAAATTATCTCTTTTCTGCTCAAAGCTACATATTAGATCAGTGTATCCAAAAATCAGCAGACGTATTTCTTTCTAAATGTTGAATAAAAGTGAATATATTTCTTTTCTTTTTCTGCCGAAAACAACATATCAGGTCAGTACGCCCGAACTAGCAAACCTACTACTTTCTAAATGTTTAAAAAAAGTGAAAAGATTTCTTTAGGGTTTTACCTTTATTGGGATTCAGAAAGTAATTAATTTTACAAATAATAAGATTATCATGAATATTACTAAAAATCTGTTTTGGTTAGAAACGGAAAAGAATGAATTATGAAGCACTAAGTAGCAGGTACTATCCAGAATGTCAATCATATCGTAGCCCGTGGGAAGAATCTAGGTCCTTGAATTACTACTGATCTTCCCCGTGTGGATTCCGGAGCCCTGTTATAGGGAAAACAAGAATAGACCCACTGCCTACTCAAAAGCATGTCGTAAGAGTCGACTAATTTTTTGGGAGCTTCCTTCAAAGTCAGAGTGCATCTGTCTGAAAGGCAAGGAACCAACAGTCTGCAAACAGTTTAGTCTAATCAGTAAAACGAATGCATGCGCAACACTTAGGTTCTGGAGCAGGACTGCAGTTCAGAAGTGGACGAACAACCAGAACTTTCCGCCATTGTTTACAGCTGGTAAACAAAAGAAAAAGAAAATGTTTTTTTCTTCCATATGTAACTTAGTGTCTTAAATGCTCCGTATCTGTTTTGCTGTTCGCTTTCTGACCCTTTTTTCTGGGAGTCATATCTTCTATCACTGTTCTACAAAACCACTGCAGCCGTTAACATTGTCAGAGTGTTTCTGTTTCTGAGACATTAAGCTGCTTTTGGGCCAGTGTTTCAATGTTTCTTTCTTGCAGAACAAGTTAGATATTGTGAGGGCCCTTTGGGAGTGAGTGAGCGGCGCGTAGGCACAGATAGACCATTACGATCTAAGGAGAATGGTGCTGCTTATGAGTCAGTGTTTCATTGTTTCTTTCTTGCAGAATAACAGCCCAGTTTCTTTCTAGTATTAATTCTACTGTATTCAAAAATATTCTTGACTTACATTTGAATTAGACAGACTCTAATTTATTGCTAACATGCCAAATATAAGTATTTCAAGACCCACACTTGATAGCTGTCAAATGAAAATTTGAAGTTTTTGCATTTTAAAATTTAATTTGTTTACATTTATTATGGGCAGCCGTGTTGCTGACCATATGACCCACCAAGTACGGATTAGTCTATAAAAAAATATATATTCCCAATACGCCTAAAGACGTGGAAAAGGGACCTTTATTTTACATGTTTTATGGGCAGCTGCGGTGATGTAGCGGTTAGACGCTCGCATGTGGGTCCAAAGGTTGTGTTTTCAGGTCCTGACCAAGGCCGAATTTTCGTCTTCAAAAATGACCCTGGTTCCCAGTGGGTACCAGGTAAAGTCCCTGGAAGTTAAGGCGACCGGCGTGATGTTGACCACATCACTCACGATGTGCTGACTGATCTATAAAATATGGATCTAGTTCTGTATGCCCATTACGCATGAAAACGCAGAAAATGGTCCTTTACTTTACATGTATTATCCCGTATGCCATAAGCCTGTAATACCATTCAGTGACTAGGGATTCAAGAGTCGCAAAATAATAATAAAAGCTTATGTAGTATGGACTAGTTATAAAACACATCTCTGAGTTAAAAAACCGCAATTATCAATACACAACTGATTATAAGGTCAAATACCAACATACCGAGAATAATTTAACGACACGTTGCTGTCTCCAGCCCAGGTCATTGTGCCAATCTTCAGAAACTTGTCATCTTTAATACGACGCCATGCCACCTGTGGAAGCATTCAAATAAACATAGTCATAACATAATCATAACACTGAGTATTCTCATGTGTGCTCGGTGCTTCTATGTTGCAGCCAAGGTAGAGTACCGCTACCCATTGTCCCCATTATAAGTTGATTCTGACGTCTGATGTCCTTACATCGAAAACAGGCATACTTTCTTCAGTAGGCTCTGCTCTGGGGTCACAGCTTTTTGCCACACAAGGTCTTGTCACAGGTACACATCTTCTAGTCACACAACTTCTTAAAACTTATACACATTCTCTAGTCACACAACTTCTTGTGACTGGTACACATCTTCTAGTCACACAACTTCTTGTGACTGGTACACATCCTCTAGGCACACAACTTCTTGTGACTGGTACACATCTTCTAGTCACACAACGTCTTGTGACTGGAACATATCCTCTGGTCACACAACCTCGTGTGACTGGTACACATCTTCTAGTCACACAACTTCATGTGACTTACGCATATCTTTTCGTCGCAATACTTCTTTATCATTGGTAAATATAATTTTCTTTCACGCAAAATCAATAAACACATTTCAGTAACACATTACGGTCTGCATTCATGTTTCGAGCAGATGATATATGGCACACTTTGGCTACATTAGGCTTGCACAGACCCCAAAGTGGAACACGGCATGAAAATAGGAAATACTTTTATTATGGAAAGAGAGCTAAAGAAAGATGAACAGTTTAGAAAACTGACTTTTTGTGTGGTTAAGGATGTTGAAAATATCAAAACTGGCATTGATATTTGATTTTGAAGATCAGAAGATTTGGGAAGGCATTTAAGCACAGGCAAAAAAAAAAAAAAAAATTTACTGTAATGATGATGATATTATTAAACTGGTTCCAGGAAACATCATGGGAAACTTAAGTGACCGGTCGTGATTTTGACCACATAACCTATCTTCAACTTCTGCTTTCTAGCTCCCCAATGGAGCATAGGCCCCCAACCAACTCACGCCAATTGTTCTAAACTTTCCTATCGCAAGTGCTATCTCCATGACCTTCCCATCTTTTTAACTGCAGTATCTAGCCCTCTCCTCTCTGTTTTTGTGTGTATGTGTGTGTGTGTGTGTGGGTCTTTCTTTATTTTTCTGCCTCTGTGAGTTCCAGTGCTAGAAGAACGAGGAAGCACTAGCTCAGTGGTTTTTAATCTGGCCGAGGTGCAGGGAATTGTCGAGGGGGGAGAGGGGTGAGAGGGAGGATAAAGGAAGGACACTATAGAAATGGAGAGCATTTGTATTTGTACTACAAAACAGCGCTGCCAGTTTAGTGTGAAGAGCGACCTCTGTTGTGCCTTGTTCAACAAGGGACCACAAATAGCAGATATCATCAAGACAAATCAGTTATACCCATTACACTGATATTTAACACTAAATTACCAGTTACTAGTGACTGTTTCTATTATGTTATTTGACACTTTGATTTGTGTGGATGTTTTTTTTCTCCAAGTACGTGTTAATAGTGAGTGTTAATTTTTTTCTTGTTCTCCACTTCTTTCTAATCATGTTTATGCTTGTGGTTCAACGTTGGGGGTGTGGGGTGAGGGGGTGGGTGGGGGAGGAGGGGAAAAGGGGGGGGGGAGGGACGAGCAACCTAAAAAAAAAAAAGATTGAAAATCACTGCACCAGTCGAACCTTGTGTCTGTACTATTAGAGAGAAAAATAGGCACATAATGTATATATTTACGGAAAAGAATACAGAAAACGTTGAAGGATGTCCTAAACATCCGAATTAGGAAATTATCCAGCTCAGTGACAGAAGCAAAAATAACTTTTTTTCATTTTATGGCACATGCTGTTCCAGACAAAGTCGTGTTTAAGATGGATGGCTAAACGAAATGTCACGTCTTGTTAGGACGCAAATTCACCCTGTCGCTAATTTGAGACCATGACCCTAAAGTAGGGATGGATAAACTCAGGCTCGCTGACTATACAAGGTCCGCGAGATTATCTGGTGTGACAACGACAATTATTTGTTTGATAAAGCACAGAAGGCGGATTTTGAAGTCAATAATAGACAGATAGAAAGATATACAGATAAAAAGATAGATATCCGGATAGATTTATGGATAGATAGAAAGATGGATAGATAGATAGATAGATAGATAGATAGATAGATAGATAGATAGATAGATAGATAGATAGATAGATAGATAGATAGATAGATAGATAGATAGATAGATAGATAGATAGATAGATAGACAGATAGACAGATAGATAGATAGAACTTTATGTTTAAAGGGTTAAGAATTGGGCACGCAGGCCCGTCTAACATTCTGGCCTTTCATTCCGCTCCTTGCATACAATTATTCATTTGTACCTCATTTCATAGTTGATAATAATAAGAAGAGGAAAGAAAACGGAAAAAAAAAAAAAAAAAAAAAAAAAAAAAAATTAGGGAAAAAAAACAAAAACTGCAATTTACAACATCCAAGTCTTAGTTACACATGCTGGAATGTGCTCTAATTGTACTGACATTACTGAACGTTTTTAAGAGTATAGTAATAAGTCTATTCCAAAAATGACATGTTTCATATGACAGACAGACGGACGGATGGAAGGACGGATGGACGGACAGACAGACAGACAGACCGACAGACCGACAGACAGACAGACAGACAGACAGACAGACAGACAGACAGACAGACAGACAGACAGACAGACAGACAGACAGACAGACAGACAGACAGACAGACAGACAGACAGACAGACAGACAGATAGATAGATAGATAGATAGATAGATAGATAGATAGATAGATAGATAGATAGATAGATAGATAGATAGATAGATAGATAGATAGATAGATAGATAGATAGATAGATAATCATACATCTCCACTGTCTATGCACTCGTCTCATTTATTCCCTGAACAGGATAAGAAGTTTGCCCCCTGTTAAAACGCTGCAGCTGCAGTAAACAAAGTGTTTGAAAAGGCGTTAAAAACTTCTGCCAGCTTGGAACAGCGCCAGTGGAAACAGATTCACCACGGGATTCTGTTCAGGATCTCTTCGCCACTGCTTCATTGTCCCTCGGGCAGTAACAACATACAGAAATATACATTCATTTGAACCACTTCTGAAGATTTACTTAAGGAGTGTTACCAATTGGGTGATTTCAAAGGATGTCTCCCAGCGAGACAAACAGGTCGCTTTTTATTCTATGCTAGATGAACCTCTATTTCTTCTTGGAGAAAACGACCCCCGACCCCCCCCCCCCCCCCCCCCACAAGGAACATCTTATTCTCCTTGACGTGAAGTAATAATGAGATAATTTAGGTTGCACCTCTCTCACACTCATGCCATGTTGTTAAAATGGCTCCTAGGAAATTAAAAATCATTCTCATCACAACGGCAAAAGAATTAAACTCTTGTTTTGCGTGTGCCTGTCCCAGAAAGTAATTACACGCGTGCAGTATCAATTCTTGACCTTTGATAATCTGTCCTAGAAACCAACAGAGTATGTGCCCTTGAGATGAAGTGTCAATTCCCCTTGGTTCTTCCATCTAACTTCCTATAAGCGACGTTGTTAATAGGATACAGCCCAGGCTGAGGTCAAAGCTAAAGCTGCCAATGATAAATGCGCCACCGGTGGCTTTTCTAATTTTCCTTGTCTGTTTTAATGTTTCTCATCGATGAAATGTGTGTGTGTGTGTGTGTGTGTGTGTGTGTGTGTGTGTGTGCGCGCGCGCGTGTGTGTGAGTGTGTGTAAATGTATGTGTGAAGCGTGTGTGAGGGAGTGTGTGTATGTGTTTGTGTCTGTGTGTTTGTGTGTGTGTGTGTGTGTGTTGTCTCCTTACACAAAGTTGTCATCTCTATTCGCCTATATATTGTATCCATAACAGTGCTCGCGTCTGTACTGCAAATAAATATCGTGGCAAGATTTCTTGAAAATGCTACTCTGTATTCTTCTTTCTTCTGCTTCTTTGCGTTCGGTTTCGTATGCTCAGATCAGACCATCAGGTGGGTTGCCTCTATGAACTCGCATGTTACTTGCAGGTCCTTCATGGTTCCCCATAGTTTGCTCTGCACACTGTGCTTTTGAGGCCAGGTGTCTTTTCGAAGTTGTGTGTAGAGTGGGCAGAATGTGCTCAGGTGCTCAGGTGTTTGTGGTCTCGTTTGGCAGGCACATTGTGGGGGAGAGTACAATATTTATGCATGTGCTAGTTGAGCCTGCAGTGTCCTGTTTGTAGACGGAAAATTATTGTATGTTGCTTTCTGTTGAGTTTGCTTACTACTCTAGATGATTTATGGAGAAGAATCCGCTAATCCAGCAGTAGTTAAAGCAGCAGAGAGTGGTATAAGAATTAGTAGCAGTAAACACAGTTGTTGTACTGCGGCAGCAGCATTAGGTCAGGAGGGTAGCAGAAATAGTAAGCTTGATTATTACGAATATACTAACGTATGCTAAATAGATGATACAGCACTACTGAAATAATGTATTAGTTCATTTGTATGCAAAATGAAAATCTGCCTGTTTGTTTATATGTTAGCCTAGAAGAAAACATTAGGTCCGTACGTGTGAAGTAAGTAGTTTCCTTATGTGCGTTTGTATGTACAAGCCTATCTGTGTAACTGACTAATCGAGTGTGTGTGTGCGCGCGTGTGTTTGTCTTTGTTTCTTAAAGCATATCTGCACAACTGCATGTCTCTCTCTCTCTCTCTGTCTCTCTCTCTCTCTCTCTCTCTCTCTCTCTCTCTCTCTATATATATATATATATATATATATATATATATATATGTGTGTGTGTGTGTGTGTGTGTGTATGTGCGTGCCAAGACGGAGACTAAATGAAATTTCCGATGGTGACATTATGACATTGTGGTCTGTGGGAACATGTGCATATAAATGATAAGAAGTAAACGAGACAGAAGAAAGTTCGTTACCTGCGTCCTGAACTTTGTAAACAGAAAAACCTGATTCTGACACTGCTAGTGTGCTGGTAAAACAGACATTTGCTTTTGCGTATTACTGAATTTGCATATCAGACATTAAAAAAAAAATTTTTTTTGGGGGTACTATTCACAAAAGTCACTCCATCTTGTTCAGCTGCGAGATTTCCTGGCGGCTCCTATGAGCTATTCTATGTTCTAGGGGTTTTCGTTTTAAACAATGTAAGCACACCTGTCGCGCGCCCACGTGGGCAAATACACTGATATAGTGAGGGTGTGGGTTTGAACCTTAACAATGCCCACCCACGTGAGAAACTGGACTATTATCTAACCTATGTTGATCCTAGACAGTCCTGGATAGCCAAGAAAACAGCGAGTGGCTCGTTCCATGAAATGAAAGTTGCTGTACTTGTATCCACAGGAGTAGGAGAAGGGATAGATAGATTTCTGGATACACCCACTATGAAATAATCCAGGTGCTCATTTAACCCCTCCGACTGCTCTCCTCTCCTGGCATTACTTAAAAGCCCCCATCAAGTGATTTAAATATTTTGTTAGCTGAAGTAAACTAATATGCACAAAGACACTTGAACCTAAGTACACAATTTACTTAACTCTGTGTAACAACATCAAAAAGATTTATTTAATAAATCGAAATTAAAATGAACTTGTTTAGGCTAGTAGAGTTGGGATGATGTTATAGATGACATTAAAGTTGTACATAACTTAGCTCATCAGGACAGTTCTCGGCTTGAGACCCTGCCTATCTTTTCCAGTTTGTCGTCCTCAACTGCTTTCTGCAGGTCGTTACACTCGACGGTCGGCAAATAATGGATGCCTACTAGTCCCT